CTTTATCGCATTTTAGTAAGTTTCTTTATTTTAACTTCAATGTTTGAGGTCAAGGTAGTTAAATAAAGAATTACACTTAAATCTCAGTTGGTAAAAGACAAGTATGAGATTTTAAAGTAATCTTGCTATATATAAAGCTAGACGAAATATATCTGTTGCCATTTTACTGATACCACGACATCAACTTCAACACAAATTTCCGCAAACACCGTAAATGATATTCCATCAAAACGTTTTTTGTCTGCATCGAAAGTTTTTATTGCATTTTGACCAGAAGAAATACAAAATTGACCAATATAGAACTTTGGGTCCCAAATTTATACCTTTAATTAGTGTCAAAATCGTAAAATAAGTAAATATCGTTGCCTCTTAGCTTCTCAGCACCACGACGTTGGGAATACAAGAATGAACGATCTTCAAAAAACGAAACAGAAAATAAAAAGTGCAAAGAAAAGAGGCAAAGGATCGAAAAAGTACACCCAGAAATTAGTTACATTATACAATGGGTGTAAGACCAGCCAGATTCAAATTTTTAGATGATATTTTAACCTGTCTCTCTCTACTACTCGGGAAATGTCGTTTAATTATTTCAATTAAAAACTTAGAAATCTCCTTCTGAAGTTTTGTGTCAGTGAATATAGAAGGTCCATCCTTGTGAAGAGACTGGTCTTGGTATAACTATAGGAGGCATGTTCTGAGTACCTTTATAGTGTAAAAGAAAAAAAAAGAAAAAAGGAAAAAAGAAAGGAAAAAGAAATGAAAAAAGAAAGGAAAAAAGAAAGGAAAAAATAAAGGAAAAAAGAAAGGAAAAAATAAAGGAAAAAAGATGTGAAAAAAGATATGAAAAAATAAATGAAAAAAGAAAGGAATAAAAAATTTTTTTCTGCTCTAGAAAGCAATCTGGAAAGGTGTATTTACTAATGCAAAGCTGAGTAAACTTAGTAATATTAGTATCCCTTAGATAAATGGCGATCATGAAGATATATGATAAAAACGATGTAGTGCGATCAGGTGAACCGTTAGCCTATACTACTCCAATAGTATCGGCTTTCTACGGCCACCCACGCGGGAGTATTTAGGATTACGTCAATAAATGTAATAGATGTTTAAATGCGATAGATTTGAAGTGTTTAATTAACTTCCGCTTGGAGCAGCTGTCATTTTGTAGCGCGATGCACAACTGGGTCGAGATGCGAAGGATTGAAATCGTGAATCAACTGTCACTTAGAGATACTAAGTTTTAAATTAAAACTTACATTAAAACTTTTAATGTCGTCATGTGATGTCTGATTATAACACCACAACTAGTACTGGCTGGAAGTGGTATAACTAGTTTTATACAGGAGGGTCGCTTTGAGATAAGATTACGTCGTTTTTCTTCGTAATCTCCATTTAATGCTCTGCTCTTGCAAAAAAACTGGAATGACGAATACAAAGGTGAGTAAACTTTATAATATCCCTTATTAGATTAATGGTGATCATGAAAACGTACTTTACCGGACTTTATTTGAACGGACAATTAATCATGACCTTATCATTACCATTATTTTAATATTCTACCCTGGAGTATTTGTACTCTGGAGGCGACTGCGGCTTAATCACGGATGATGATTAATCACTGTAGAGTGATATTTATTTTAAATATCAGGATATATAGTTGTAGTATCACAACGCGGCACTTTTATTTTAAATATCAGAATATATAGTTGGAGTCTCACAACGCGGCACTTTTATTTTAAATATCAGAATAATATATAGTTGGAGTCTCACAACGCGGCACTTTTATTTTAAATATCACAATATATAGTTGTAGTATCACAACGCGGCACTTTTATTTTAAATATCAGAATATATAGTTGGAGTCTCACAACGCGGCACTTTTATTTTAAATATCAGAATATATAGTTGGAGTCTCACAACGGGATTATGATTAATCACTCTACACTCGAGTATCACGCGACTTTTTAAAAACGTTCTCTAGCTGGCCCTGAACGACTTTTCGAAATCCTAGCCCTCTAATCTGATCTCAACTCTAAACCTAATCCAATCCCTAACTGAAGCATATGCTGGAACCCTAACGAGAAATTAGACCAACTTCCTTATATGGTAATATCACGTGATCAAGATCTCGCTAGGGGAGTATTTTAACCCTAAGTCATGTGGGGTGATTTGAAATCAGCGTTCGAAATTACATCGAACCAGGAAGATTTCAACTGTCAGGGGCCCTTTTAGAAAAATCTCGAAGATCGATTGTAGAGTGATTTAGCACACTCGCTAGATCACACCAGTAATGATTTGTAAATTTCAAACTGAACGTCCGCTCACCAAAATATCAGATGCTAGAGTGTATTATTAGATACTGAAGTGTATTATTAGAGTGTGTTTGAGTGTGTTAGAGTGTACTAGAGTGTTCTAGAGTGTGTTAGAGTGTACTAGAGTGTGTTATAGTGTGTTATAGTGTGTTAGAGTGTGTTAGAGTGTGTTAGGGTGTGTTAGAGTGTACTAGAGTAGTAGAGTGTAGTAGAGTGTGTTCGAGTGTGCTAGAGTGTACTAGAGTGTGTTAGAGTGTGCTAGAGTGTACTAGAGAGTGTTAGAGTGTACTAGAGTGTGTTAGAGTGTGTTAGAGTGTACTAGAGTGTTTTAGAGTGTGTTTGAGTGTGTTAGAGTGTGTTTGAGTGTGTTTGAGTGTGTTAGAGTGTGTTTGAGTGTGTTAGAGTGTGTTAGAGTGTACTAAAGTGTGTTAGAGCGTGTTAAAGTGTGTTAGAGTGTGTTAGAGTGTGTTAGAGTGCGTTAGAGTGCATTAGAGTGTGTTAGAGTGTGTTACGGTCATGGGAAATTTCAAACGATCTTACAGCATGATACAACAAAACCCCATTTTGTCGCGCCCCGATTCACTACAAACCCTGATTTAGCATAGCCTTTTAAATAGCCGCCATTTCCTTCCCCCATGAGCCCATGAATAGGCTTAACATAGTACATGATGTTTAAAAAATCCCCCATGTTTCGCTGCTCAAACATACATATAACTATGTAATATAACTTATATTTATTGACCAATGATATTTGAGCATTTCTTACCACGTGACTTAGTTTAATCATTTAATGGAACATTAAAAGTATTGAAAGTGATTGAGAATGAAACTATTGTTTTTGTAACAAAACATCTATAAAAACATGAATATAATGGCAGCATGAGGTCACATCTTTATGGGATTTATATGCTTTTTGCAACCTAAGTGAACAAAAACTTTGATATCGTTTTAATCACCGATTATTCTAGAATCTTTAGCAAAATTATAACTTATAACATAAAATAATGTTAATCAGGAAACCGTTATTCTAAGGTTTTAAAATAAACCGTTTATATTGAAACAGTAATTCAGAACCTTTCGATGTTCCGCGTTATCTTGGTTCTTGTTGAGTGCGCCTTTCATTTGCTAATGTTCGTGGTAATAATGTTTTCAAACGGCTTCAAAATTTCTTGAATTAGGATATATATTCAAATATAATTGAATTTGAAGATTATTACTCAAGATAACAGGGTATTTATAATAACCTAAATGATTAATTAGATTTGTAAAAGGGACTCCTTTTCTGCTCGATTATTCCAGTCTTAGAGACTTTCTAACTTTACTCTGAAAGTCTGAAGTAGGTACTGCGTTAAATTGATCTGGTATTCTCGTCGTTGAACTACGGTTTTAGATTTGCTTGTACATCGTTATATCACCATTCACCAAACTTCGACACTTAAATTTGATAGTTTTTCTAAAACACCATCGATAGTGCTTATTTTGAACTGGTGATGACGGAATTCCATAAATAATTGTTCATAAATTAAATACTTGCGAAAGAACCACTCATAGTTATTTCGTACCGCCCAGGAGTGCATGAGAGTGTGTTAGAGTGTGTTACGGTCATGGGAAATTTCAAATGATCTTACAGCATGATACAACAAAACCCCATTTTGTCGCGCCCCGATTCACTATAAACCCTGATTTACCATGGCCATTTAAATAGCCGCCATTTCCTTCCCCCATGAGCCCATGAATAGGTTTAAAATAGTAAATGATGTGAAGAAAAAACCCCCGATCTTTCGCTGCTCAAACATACATATAATATAACTTATATTTATTGACCAATGATATTTGAGCATTTCTTACCACGTGACTTAGTTTAATCATTTAATGGAACATTAAAAGATTCTTAAGTATTGAAAGTGATTGAGAATGAAACTATTGTTTTTGTAACAAAACATCTATAAAATCATAAATATAATGGCAGCATGAGGTCACATCTTTATGGGATTTATATGCTTTTTGCAACCTAAGTGAACAGAAACTTTGATATCGTTTTAATCACCGATTATTCTAGAATCTTTAGCAAAATTATAACTTATAACATAAAATAATGTTAATCAGGAAACCGTTATTCTAAAGTTTAAAAATAAACCGTTTATATTGAAGTAAGGTTCAGTAATTCAGAACCTTTTGATGTTCCGCGTTATCTTGGTTCTTGTTGAGTGCGCCTTTCATTTGCTAATGTTCGTTATAATAATGTTTTCAAACGGCTTCAAAATTTCTTGAATTAGGATCATGTAAATATATAATTATATTCAAATATAATTGAATTTGAAGATTATACTCAAGATAACAGGGTATTAATTACCTAAATGATTGATTAGATTTGTAAAAGGGACTTCTTTTCTGCTCGATTATTCCAGTCTTAGAGACTTTCTAACTTTACTCTGAAAGTCTGAAGTACTGCGTTAAATTGATCTGGTATTCTCGTCGTTGAACCACGGTTTTAGATTTGCTTGTACATCGTTATATCACCAAACTTCGACACTTAAATTTGATAGTTTTTCTAAAACACCATCGATAGTGCTTATTTTGAACTGGTGATGACGGAATTCCATAAATAATTGTTCATAAATTAAATACTTGCGAAAGAACCACTCATAGTTATTTCGTACCGCCCAGGAAACAAACAAATTCATATCTTAACAAATTCCAATGTCTATTACGCAACGTTTTATTACGCAATACGGTATTACTATCAAACTAAAATCGTTTAAGAGTTAATACGCTTCATCACAACAATACGACTCATAAATAATGTCCGGATATTACATAACAGTTTCAGCAAGCAAAACAGTCGGAGTCAATTATTGAAAATTGTGCAACAAGATGAAGACAAGACAGTGGATATTCCTGTTCGCATTTTTTGTCACTGCTGTTAAATCACAAGGTTAGAAGAAGTTTTTTTGATATAAGAAGGTAAAACTAAAAGGGCTGCGATGAACATGGACTTGCCACCCCATAGAAACATTGAATATATTAATTTTGCTACATTGCTTCCTCAATAAAACTATTTATTTGTAGTTGAAAATAATTTAAAATTTATCTGTACTATTTTGAATACACAGTTAGTAACATAATATTGACTGCAAATTAATTTTCTCGTTACCTAAAGTCACAATAGAAAGTAATAATTCCAATATTACCAGAAGAAGTTGAAGACAGTAGTCTGTTCCGCCTGGTAACAGACTCTGGTGAAAACGTTTCACCGGGTGAAAGAGGATTATTGCTCTACAAAGGTGGCACTGTGTGTTACGATAAGTTTAGTGACCACTCAGCCAACGCTATTTGCAGAGTTCTAGGGTATTCTCGAGCAAGTAACTGGACGAGCGGGTACCACTTCAACCTGATCCACCAACTCGGGTTGATCAACCAACTCGGGTTTATTATTTCATATTACAAACAAAGTTAAAAGAGAGAGAGAGAGAGAGAGAGAGAGAGAGAGAGAGAGAGAGAGAGAGAGAGAGAGAGAGAGAGAACTTATCTTTTCTGTGAGTACCAATTACTTGATTAAGTTTAACGCAAACGCTTAAATGATAAGAAAAAAACGATTCTACCCTTTAGAGAGAGAGAGAGAGAGAGAGAGAGAGAGAGAGAGAGAGAGAGAGAGAGAGAGAGAGAGAGAGAGAGAGAGAGAGAGAGAGAGAGAGAAAGAGAGAGAGAGAGAGAGAGAGAGAGAGAGAGAGAGAGAGAGAGAGAAAGAGAGAGAAAGAGAGAGAAAGAGAGAGAGAGAGAGAGAGAGAGAGAGATATATATATAGAGACAGAGAGAGAGAGAGAGAGAGAGAGAGAGAGAGAGAGAGAGAAAGAGAGAAAGAGAGAGAGAGAGAGAGAGAGAGAGAGAGAGAGAGAGAGAGAGAGAGAGAGAGAGAGAGAGAGAGAGAGAGAGAGAGAGAGAGAGAGAGAGAGAGAGAGAGAGAGAGAGAGAGAGAGAGAGAGAGAGAGAGAGAGAGAGAGAGAGAGAGAGAGAGAGAGAGAGAGAGAGAGAGAGAGAGAGAGAGAGAGAGAGAGAGAGAGAGAGAGAGAGAGAGAGAGAGAGAGAGAGAGAGAGAGAGAGAGAGAGAGAGAGAGCGGCTACCACTACAACATGATCTACCAACTCGGGTTTAATATTATCGCCTTCACTATTTCATATTACAAACAAAGTTAAAATCGTACAGAATTTTGAGTGAAAAGTACGTGGTACTAGTCGTACTTTTCAATTTAGCGTACACATTTTACTGTACTTATCGCTGTAACTGTAAGTTTCTGTACTTCTCATCTTAGGTTTGATATAACTATGTTCGATGTGGAGTGTGGTGATGATGATTGGGAGTCCTGCAGTTACTCTACCTCTGAATTTTGTTATCATTACAGAGTGTTTCTTAGTTGTGCAGCAGGTTAGGATTTTTCCATCCACCACTCTAAAAAAGTAAAGATGGTTAAAATAGTTATTAAGGGTAACTTATCTTTTCTGTGAGTACCAATTACTTGATTAAGTTTAACGCAAACGTTTAAATGATAAGAAAAAAACAATTTTACCCTCTTATACTGCTCCTTGAATTATTTTATTCGGGATAACGTTCTATTTCTAACGTTCGTGATTTTGCTGTTAATCTCGAAAACTGTTAATCGATCCAAGACACTCAAAATAAGCATAAAATACATAAAGTAAGCAAAAACTTGGATTCACTGCGGACCCCAATTCACCGTGGCTGTTTGGTTCGCCCAAACTGTTTACTTCACAGAAGAACCAGTCGATGCGAATCTGTTCCGCCTGGTAACAAACTCTGGTGAAGCCGTTTCGCCGGGTGAGAGAGGATTATTACTCTACAAAGGTGGAACCGTCTGTAAGGATAAGTTTAGTGACCACTCAGCCAACGCTATCTGCAGACTTCTAGGATACACCCGCGCTATAAACTGGGAAAGTGGGTACCTTTGGTTAAAGGTTCAGACAGGACTGGACATCACCCTGGATGATGTGGAGTGTAGTGAGGGTGATTGGGGGTCTTGTTGGTTTACTACATCTCACAACTGTTATCACGACAAGGACGTTCACATGAGCTGTTATACTGCAGGTTCGGAAATTAAAGCTTTTAACTTTTTAAGTTGTAGCTGTTTCACCAGTATCTTCACTGCGACCAATATGTACTTGGCTATGCCCTATTGTTGGTCCCTTATATTTACAAATGGGAATGAGCATGTACTAACTTGGCTATGCCCTATTGTTGGTCCCTTATATTTACAAATGCGAATGACCATGTACTAACTTGGCTATGCCCTATTTTTGGTCCCTTATATTTACAAATGCAAATATATATAGAAACATTGAATATATTAATTCTGCTACATTGCTTCCTCAATAAAATTATTTATTTGTAGTTTTGAAAATAATTTAAAATTTATCTGTACGATTTTGAATACACAGTTAGTAATATAATATTGACTGCAAATTAATTTTCTCGTTACCTAAAGTCACAATAGAAAGTAACAATTCCAATATTACCAGAAGAAGTTGAAGACAGTAGTCTGTTCCGCCTGGTAACAGACTCTGATGAAGACGTTTCACCGGGTGAAAGAGGATTATTGCTCTACAAAGGTGGCACTGTGTGTAACGATAAGTTTAGTGACCACTCAGCCAACGCTATTTGCAGAGTTCTAGGGCATTCTCGAGCAAGTAACTGGACGAGCGGCTACCACTACAACCTGATCCACCAACTCGGGTTTATTATTTCATATTACAAACAAAGTTAAAAGAGAGAGAGAGAGAGAAAGAGAGAGAGAGAGAGAGAGAGAGAGAGAGAGAGAGAGAGAGAGAGAGAGAGAGAGAGAACTTATCTTTTCTGTGAGTACCAATTACTTGATTAAGTTTAACGCAAACGCTTAAATGATAAGAAAAAACGATTCTACCCTTTAGAGAGAGAGAGAGAGAGAGAGAGAGAGAGAGAGAGAGAGAGAGAGAGAGAGAGAGAGAGAGAGAGAGAGAGAGAGAGAGAGAGAGAGAGAAGAGAGAGAGAGAGAGAGAGAGAGAGAGAGAGAGAGAGAGAGAGAGAGAGAGAGAGAGAGAGAGAGAGAGAGAGAGAGAGAGAGAGAGAGAGAGAGAGAGAGAGAGAGAGAGAGAGAGAGAGAGAGAGAGAGAGAGAGAGAGAGAGAGAGAGAGAGAGAGAGAGAGAGAGAGAGAGAGAGAGAGAGAGAGAGAGAGAGAGAGAGAGAGAGAGAGAGAGAGAGAGAGAGAGAGAGAGAGAGAGAGAGAGAGAGAGAGAGAGAGAGAGAGAGAGAGAGAGAGAGAGAGAGAGAGAGAGAGAGAGAGAGCAAGTAACTGGACGAGCGGCTACCACTACAACCTGATCTACCAACTCGGGTTTAATATTATCGCCTTCACTATTTCATATTACAAACAAAGTTAAAATCTTACAGAATTTTGAGTGAAAAGTACGTGGTACTAGTCGTACTTTTCAATTTAGCGTACACATTTTACTGTACTTATCGCTGTAACTGTAAGATTCTGTACTTCTCATCTTAGGTTTGATATAACTCTATTCGATGTGGAGTGTGGTGATGATGATTGGGAGTCCTGCAGTTACTCTACCTCTGAATTTTGTTATCATTACAGAGATGTGTTTCTTAGTTGTGCAGCAGGTTAGGATTTTTCCATCCACCACTCTAAAAAAGTAAAGATGGTTAAAATAGTTATTAAGGTTAACTTATCTTTTCTGTGAGTACCAATTACTTGATTAAGTTTAAGGCAAACGTTTAAATGATAAGAAAAAAAAGATTTTACCCTTTTACACTGCTCCTTGAATTATTTTATTCGGGATAACGTTCTATTTCTAACGTTCGTGATTTTGCTGTTAATCTCGAAGACACTCAAAATTAACATAAAATACATAAAGTAAGCAAAAACTTGGATTCACTGCGGACCCCAATTCACCGTGGCTGATTGGTTCCCCCAAACTGTTTACTTCACAGAAGAACCAGTCGATGCGAATCTGTTCCGCCTGGTAACAAACTCTGGCGAAGCCGTTTCGCCGGGTGAGAGAGGATTATTACTCTACAAAGGTGGAACCGTCTGTAAGGATAAGTTTAGTGACCACTCAGCCAACGCTATCTGCAGACTTCTAGGATACACCCGCGCTATAAACTGGGAAAGTGGGTACCTTTGGTACAAGGTTCAGATGGGACTGGATATCACCCTGGATGATGTGGAGTGTAGTGAGGGTGATTGGGGGTCTTGTTGGTTTTCTACATCTCATAACTGTTATCACGACAAGGACGTTCACATGAGCTGTTATACTGCAGGTTCGGAAATTAAAGCTTTTAACTTTTTAAGTTGTAGCTGTTTCACCAGTATCTTCATTGCGACCAATATGTACTTGGCTATGCTCTATTGTTGGTCCCTTATATTTACAAATGCGAATGACCATGTACTAACTTGGCTATGTCCTATTGTTGGTCCCTTATATTTACAAATGCGAATGACCATGTACTAACTTGGCTATGCCCTATTGTTGGTCCCTTATATTTACAAATGCGAATGAGCATGTAATAACTTGGCTATGCCCTATTGTTGGTCCCTTATATTTACAAATGCGAATGACCATGTACTAACTTGGCTATGCCTTATTGTTGGTCCCTTATATTTACAAATGCGAATGACCATGTAATAACTTGGCTATGCCCTATTGTTGGTCCCTTATATTTACAAATGGGAATGACCATGTACTAACTTGGCTATGCCCTATTGTTGGTCCCTTATATTTACAAATGCGAATGACCATGTACTAACTTGGCTATGCCCTATAACCCTATTGTTGGTCCCTTATATTTACAAATGCGAATGACCATGTACTTACTTGGCTATGCCCTATTGTTGGTCCCTTATATTTACAAATGCGAATGACCATGTACTAACTTGGCTATGCCCTATTGTTGGTCCCTTATATTTACAAATGCGAATGACCATGACGTACTAACTTGGATATGCCCTATTGTTGGTCCCTTATATCTACAAATGCGAATGAGCATGTACTAACTTGGTTATGCCCTATTGTTGGTCCCTTATATTTACAAATGCGAATGACCATGACGTACTAACTTGGATATGCCCTATTGTTGGTCCCTTATATTTACAAATGCGAATGAGCATGTACTAACTTGGTTATGCCCTATTGTTGGTCCCTTATATTTACAAATGCGAATGAGCTGTAATACTGTTATTTAGGTAAATATTTGGTAAACATGATTTATATGACTGAAGTTATGATCGTTCTTGTCAAACTATAGGAAGACAGCTGGCATAGGACACACCAAACTAAAATTTATAATTCAACTAATGGCTTGATGACAGAATATTTAATGAAGATTGTTAGGTATTTTATTATATGCTCATTGCTCAACCATTTGAACAATTTGTCTCTGTTGACAAGATACATTAGCAAATGACACCATCGAATTTATAAACGGTTATATTTTATGCTCATGCAACTGTAATCAAGGTGGTAAATAAGACAAACAGAACACGTGAGCTAAGTTGTAACGTTTTCAGCAGAAGAAGTTGAACAAGACCTGTTCCGTCTGGTCACAGAGTCTGGTGAAGACGTAGTAGAACAGGAAAGAGGACTGTTGCTCTACAAGAATGGCACCGTCTGCCACGATAGATTTAATGAAAATTCAGCGAACGCTATCTGCAAAGAATTAGGGTATTCCCGATCATTAAACTGGACCAGTGGATATCATTATAATTTTAATTTCCAGCTCGGATTTAATATCACATTGGATGACGTGGAGTGTGGTGATGATGATTGGGGACTGTGCAGTTACTCCACCTCTAACGACTGTTACCATCTTAAGGACGTGTTTATCAGTTGTACTTCAGGTTGGAGCTTCAAAATTATACTTTTTCAGTTTAGAAAAAAAAACAATTACCATGAGTATATCCACGACTATTATATATAGTTACTATAGTATCAATTCTTGAAATCGTAAGAAAATTTGCAATCTAAGATGAGTGGCACGATTGTTAAGTTCCAGGTGCTTTGTAGATGAGTGGCACGATTGTAAAGTTCCAGGTGCTTTGCAGTGTTTAGAAAAGCAGTAAGCATCGCATGGCTTTAGACAGACTGTCGAGAGTCGTGATGCTCCCTACTGAACACTTCAATGTTAAGAACTTGGACTCACGAGATCAAAATTCCAGATGTAACAGCTGAAGAAGATAGCAATCCTTTCCGGCTGTTAAACGAGCTGGGAGAAGAAGCTTCTCCAGGTGATTGGGGACTGCTGTTCTACAATGGAGGCACGGTGTGTAAAGATTATTTCAGTGCTAATTCAGCACACGCGATCTGCAAGGAAATGGGATACGATAGTGCAATAAACTGGTCTAGTGGATACTACTACGGGTTCGATTATCAGCGAGGTATGCTAAACATTATCTTAAATTGCTTTTTTTTGTAGAGATTTTCATTAACATTGAGCTATTGTACAAAACTGGCACAAAATAGTTAACTTTGTTTTACTGATAACTTTTTACTGAAGGGTTTAACATCACGCTGGATAACGTGGAGTGTAGTGAGGCTGACTGGGGGTCTTGTTGGTTTTCTACATCTCACAACTGTTACCACGGTGACGATGTGTTTATGGCTTGTGATCCTGCAGGCAAGTTGGGCTCTTTAAAAAATTAAAATAAAATAAATCAAAATTTTGCTGCTGGTAAATGCTGACGCTGTGTTAATTATGAAACAGGCCAGCAGCTTAAAGATCCGTTTAGATAATTTGCCATAAACTTAAGTCGGCATGACGGCATCAGTTTAATCAAATTTAAGACATCCTTACTACACACATATCCGTCGTTACCATACATGATTGTATGATTGCATTTTTTTACAGATAATCAAAAATTAAAATAACAAAAAAAATCATAAAGATTTAATTTCATTGATAAATGAATTTGGAATACGATAAAAAATGAAGTGAGGATAATAAAAATGCCCATATCTTACCTATATAACATGTATATACAACATGACATCCTTAATTCCAACCTTGTTTTTCAGGTTCGACGTAGGAGTTAAGGTACGGATATAGGGACAGAAAGGAGGACCAATAAGCTTCAAGGGAAACTTTATAATTATTTTTGAGAAATAAACTTAATGACTTTTTTTAAATCTAGTAGTTATTGACGATTATGAGAGTTTTCGCATGTCGGACGACATAGTGATTGTCCTTTATTTCAATAATTTATATTATTATAAGATATTGCAAGAAATACTTGCGGGAAGGAGAGCACATTACAAAGTTGGGTTTCATTAGTTAATCCTGGAAGCTATTTTGCTTCGGAGTAGACTAGCATTCCATCGAATTTCTTTTTGGTATTTGGCAAAATAGTTTAAATATTTTAAGGTCAAATAGTTTAAACATTATAAGATAAATTATGCCATATTGACCCTATAATGACCAGGGTCTATTATACTTTATTTATTAATTTCTATCAGCTTTTTTTATTGATTGCCTGAATTAGAGAAATTTACCATCTACTGATCGATCATGTTAACGGCCAATTATAATTTGTGCTTCTCTGTCTCATTAAAGTGGCCCTGACAATTTTAAAAAAGTAATCTTTCCAATTTGGATGAATATTTCAACATTAGGCTTTTACTGCTAATTCTTGTGACAGTGAATTCGATTTTCGTGTAAATATTTAAGTGCGTACTGAGTTATGTCTCACGTACATTATGGTCATTATCGTTTCGGTTTAGTGCTTCTAAACCAGACCTATCCGAATCACTGCCTTCAATTTTGCAGCACTGGTGTTTTTAAATATGTAGATTACCTAGACTGATCATATTTTTTTAACTGAGCAAAACGATTATTTTATCCTAAAACTTATTATTCTTAAGAAATCACCAAATGCAAATTAAACCTTGTGCGCAGCCTTTGTAATTAATTGAGCAATTTCCGCGCATTATAAGGCCGATAAGATAATCACCTTTCTAATCAAATTACGCTTCGTTTTATTTCAAAACTATTGCGTAATCTATAATGACTATTTGAAATGTTTTCGACACAAATTCACCAATTTGGATGATGCCAAAAATAGGATGCGTCAAGCTAAAATTATTATTTAAGTTAGAATTTACTGCTTAGATTATCTAAGTTAGATCATCTTTACATATAATAATATAAGTCTAAATAAGGAATCCCGTATAATTTATATCTTTATGAATATTAAAGTAGGTGATCGTTCTTCTGTGAATCTAGCTAAGCACTAGAAGGTAATTGAACAAGTTATAAGGCTTTGATAACTTGAAACATTTCTTGTTTAACCCTGTACTCGGTCAACAAGTTAACATCGCGAACTTTTTAAATCAAGTTCATAAAGTTATAACACAACCTCTCTCATATCCCATTCCTAAACAAACCTGCATACGAAATATTTACCCTTTAATTATGGCACGGAACCAATTCCACCTCAATCAAACTCCTCAATTTTCTAAATTTCTACCGCTCAACCCAACAGGGTGAGTCAAGGTGGAGACCTCTCCTATAAATTTCTAAAATTCCGCAGTTACATTCCACTATACCCGACTAATTCTACCTCTCTCTCTCTCCTTGCTATGTCAAAAACAGAAGCCATATAACCCGCTCAGAGAGTGAGCTATGTTAGTGTTTTAACAGCAGAGCAGTTGCAGAATGAGTATATATTGGCACGTCACGAGGTTCTGAGCGTATAGCTGCTGACACAGCGAGGGAGAGAGAGAGAGAGAGATATCAGCAGCTCTCTCTCTCTCTAGGCCGGGTTCTCTCTCTGCAATGTTGTCATGTCAGATGTAGGTTAAGTCATCCCACCCTTTCTCTTTATTTCGTTCAGTGAACTCATTTCTTGGAGGTGTTGTATCCTGTTTTTGCCAATTTTACCGTGGAATATTTTGTGATATCTATCTGGAGGAGGGATTTGTTAATTATGTTTAATCATTTATAGAGAACCTGTCATTACCGATGGTTTGATTGGTGAACTATAAAAACGTATGGTTGTGTTTCGTATTGGCGGCAAGAACTGCCGTGTCGTCAAGTTCACACTTTATGGTAGTTAAACTTAATGTTCTAATCCTGGTTTGTGCTAATTCTGGTTGCCGCGTTTTTCTTGATACGGTTCAGTTTTTGTTAACGCTTTAAAGGTTTCCGCTCGTTGCTGATTAAAATGTAGTAAATTATGCTGTTTTTTTCTTGATACTACTTGGTACAAGTTCGTGGACATGGATATTTGCTACGCAGTTGTGCGCGGCAGGCCCACAGCGTGGGGCAAAGAATTCTGCGATCAACGTGGGATATAATATTTTTTATTCTAAACTTCTGTGTGGGCTAAAAATACTACCGATTGCAAGTTACAATCAATTGCTTTCAGTACTTAAATCACTTCTAAAGACAGAATTGAAACACAATGAAATGTTTTCAACGTGTTTATAAGCGTCATGGTAGTCGAGTTAATTACGCCTGAACCTTACATCACACAACCATTATTTTATGATAAATATGATATTGATAAACACGGTTCACATGATGAATATGAAACTTTCACTTCCACTTTCACTTTCAGGGAATGAAACCTCCCCCTACACTGTGAATGCTTATTATACTAATACTACACGTGATCTGCTGGCTGCCCCGGTACTCCTCCCTGCTTTGCAGTAAGTCCCCGCCCATCCACCACAAGGGAACCCTCACTAGGGACCGAGTAACCGGCAAGCTCAGCGAGCAGACACTCGTTACAATATCTCTGGGTCTTAAAGAGACCGCTTGTTTTTCACTCGAAAATGCCAAGTACTGGCATAAAAGTGAAGTGTACGGAATCTCACTTGATGATGTGAAAAGTGTGCTTCGGTACACGAATTCCTACTCCTTTGGTATCCCCAATGTGGACGTTAAGTGCGTGTGTGATTGTCCGGGAGCAGAGGACTTCTGTAGTTCCAACACAGACAGTTGCAAGGAAAACGGCATATTCGCAGCTCAAGGTACTTGCTACAGTTGGTACGAGCAAGGCAAGAGCAACTCTGGTTGTACCGCGTTTCTGTCGGGCAGTGCTGAAGTGTGCTGCAGTATCAATGTTACCCCGCAGAACAGGACTATTTGGAAGGCTATACAGCTGGGTCCGGGAGCTAACAGAGCCATGTTTAGTGTCACCAGTCTCAATACTCAGCGGACAGTTACAACTGAGGTGGACATTGAAGGGGGCCATCCCATACTAAAACCTTTCTACTTAACTGTGTCCGCTCCATCAATACAATCACCGTTAAAAGCGGGTTGGTATTTTGGCTCTGATACCGGAGATACGCTGTACGGAGGAGTGGAGCTGAACGGTTTGTCCGAGTACGACACAAACAAGTTGGGCTGGTATAAGTTCACCAGGGGTATGTTCGAGATGGACAAGTCTCAGATCATGGACTCATTCAACGTGGAGGTGGACAATTGTGATAGTGATGAGCTTAATGTGGAGTTTGATAACAAGAACACTCAGAAAACATTCCACCAGGCCACTGAACTGAACCAGTTGTTCAAGACGTCCATTGCTCATGTTGAGAGGTCCGACGAGGAGAGGAGTGTTGAGGCGTTTTTCAGACAATACAGCAATATTGAGTTGACTCTGACGCTTGAGGGGGACTATACCGTCGTGCAGGTGTTTGATGTCTCTCATTTCCGTGATTTTGATGGCGTGGTCATGATGGACAAACATTCCAACTACTTCGTCAATATCACTATCTACGAGGGTGAAGGAAGCATCAGGGGTAACCTGACAGTGGATAGTGAAACTGACGTTTTCAAAATTAATATTCCAGAACATCAGAGTGACGCCAGCATCTTCTACATCAGATTAAGTTCCCTTTGTGAAGCACACCAACAAGCTCGGCTTTGCCTCTTTACTGAGGTTGGGGTTGAGTCAGTACTTTGCAAGCCTGTTGAATGCATTCGTGAACTTCTTCAAGAATTTGAACTGCCTGACTCCGCTATTGACTATGAAAAGGGAGAGAAGATGAGTATTTTATCACCTGCAACTTGGGCCAAACATCTCAACCCAGCAGAGTGGTTTAACGGGATCAAGAACTGGAAGGAGGCTTTGATAATGGCAACAGAACTTGTGGGTATTTTCACTGTTATCGGCGTGGTTTTGAAACTATTGAAGGTTTTCGGGTGTCTGGGAAAGTGCTGGGCTTGCATTATTGGCCCGATCAACTTCGACTTTTTAAAGAAACGAAGAGAGAAGGTTCAACCAAAGTTGTCCAACGAGAGAGATAGGGAAAGGAGAGTCCTAATAGATGAAATAAGGGATCACTTAACAGCTGTTGACGGGAATATAATCCACCAAAACATGAACTATCGGCACAGATCCCAGTCCTCTGAATCCTCTCCCTCCTACCTAGTGAGTACTCCTCGGTACATCGAACTAGATGACGCCCAGGGCAACCCCGTCACCCTGATGACTACAACCGACCCTAACATATTCGTGTGGGATAAAAACACCACCCTCTCCACTACAGCCAACTCAACTCCCCAGTCCTCCAGAACCTCCACTTCCACCCCTCAATCTCAGAGGAAAGCCTACACTCTGCCAGTAAACAGCTCGCTCAGCAACGCTCCTCCTGTCCCACCCAGAGCTGCCACTCCCGGCTTCAACCTCACCCCCATCATGGGAAAGAAGAGCAGCACTCTCCCTAACCCCTACAGCGCTACTCCACCTCCCTCCAGAATACCGGTTGCTCTCAGCAGAATGGGGAGACGACACACCGTACAAGACGGAGTTGACACTGAAGCTCTCTCCTCTCCCAGTCTCCAGAGGGTTCCTACTCATCACACTGGCTCCTCCAGAAGCTTAGCTAGAGCACCGGGACATGGATCACCTAATCTAGCGAGAATGCACTTGACTAGAGCACTGTTTAATGACCAAGAGATGGAACTAATGACTAATTCTACAGAGAGTTTGTTGAGTAGAGGAGGACAAGCAGTAGAGATTATTAGAGACGCTCCGAGGAGGCCAGGCCACTCAAGGAATGGGTCGAGAGTGCTGCTTTTAAAGAACAGTAGTGAGCTTTAGTAATCCTTTTAAAGTAGTAACCATAGCTATGATCGAGATTTTAGCTGTATTAGTATTTGTAAATGAGCACTGTAGCATTGTAGAGGGAATTGTTCCGTGAAAATAAATCAAATGGGTGATTGAGTTTTTCAAAACAATTTACTTTGTAATATATTCGACGTGAAAGAATTTTTTATCTTAAAATATTATTCTAACATTAAGATTTTACTGGACAGTAAAAACATTTTGAAACGGTCACAATGACAGGGTTCATCAGAACTATAACGGTAATATTGGACAGATGGAATAAACAGCATGGTAATTTATAGCATTTTGCCATCCACCTTTGAAAAAGGTAATTTTTATTACTATTGGTTGACGTTCTTGCTTCCATTCTGATATTAAGAAATTAGAGTTACGCAATACGCTAATACAGTCAAGCCTATATTTATTCTGCCTCAATATAACGTGTTCTTAGGCTAACTGGGCATAACATATTCATGAGTATAATATCAGCTGCCTCTGTGTTCACCTCCATCATATACTACTAGATCTTAACAATGCGGTTAGTTATTTGATCGTTATTTGCTATGCGAATCGTTATCTATTGCTACTCACTAGATTATACTTTTCACATATCTACGTTGCCCTCTTAATCGTGAAGATAATCTAGATTTTATACTGAATTACTTAATGGAGGATGGAAGCAAATCACTAATATCCAGAATAATTCCATCTCTGTACTATTTCATGTAAGCATGATATCATAACTTAAGTATTTTTTAAATTCCAATTCTTTATTCACGTGACTAAGAAAATGTTCTAGAGAATGCTCGCAATATATTGAGTATAGAGAAGCCACAATCCTTAGTTTTACATAAGAAACAGCGTGTAATTAAGTTGAGATTAATGAGACTTGTGTCATATTATTTACATCCTGATTAAGTGATTAAGTCACTAGTTTCGTGATGTTCTTAAGTTTAGGGATACCCGTGTCGTCTAAAACTATAAGCAAATGCCAGCAGAGAGTGGATTGCACAGGAAATGTGCTGACAGCAATAGTTGTTTTACATCTATAAATAGCCCTCACTCACACACGCCAAATACTGACAGGCAGAACTTTCTCTCCGTCCGGTAGGTTTTTAGACCACTCTTGAGAACTAGTGTGAAACTGGCAGGTTGCCAAGACCAACCACTCATTCTCAATGATTGAATGTAGCTTCATTCACGTCCACACACAAAGTTACACGTGTCCATGGTAAAGCAGCACCCATTATAATAAGCCACACTTGCTCACAGTAAATAAAGTGTGACCTGTTAATTGTAGCTGATGACTTGTAAGTTCTGTTATATTATGTGATCAGATAATCACCATGGCAATCCTTTCCAACCCAGAGTGAGAGAGAGCCCGTAACCATGACAACAGCATAGTAGAGAGACTCGGAACCTTCAATTTTCTTCACTTTACCCCCTCTTCACAACTTGTACTAATTGCCCCTGTCAGCAGTTCTACAAATATTTGTCGTTACAGTTTGTTGGAACAGCTTCTCTATATATATTATATAGCAAGGCCGGGAGAATGATTTGTCATTTTTTTGGTATCAAACCAAACAGCATGATGCCCGAGAATCTGGCTTATTGACAGTTGAGAATATCGCCTGTGATTTCATCTATAACCAGTCTGCGAAGCCGATTAGTATTACCTAAAACAGCAAGGGTCCCTTTAAGACTGAACCTTCTTAACGTCACACCTCCAACTTCAAGACTGTAGTTTGAGGTATGACCTCTGAGTTTTCCTGTTTCACCTCAGTATGATGGTATCTAGTGAAGGGTGTGCCTCAGGCAGGTGGGGTGCTGCAGCTGTCAGTTACAAACTTACAAGTAACGCAACTGAGCAGTACCACACCCTGTTAGTTATGAATATCTGTTTAAAGTATTGTGTGCGTATAAACGTACATCATATGCACGTACAGCATGTACGCTATCTATTAAAAGAAATTGGTCAATTTCAACAGAGATAACAATCTTAGATTCCTCAATTTAAAAAGATATCTTATAGAGTTGTTCGAGAAAGACAGTACTAGAAAATTCCTTTAAAGTCATCGACTTATTTGCACATTCGTTCACAGTATAAAAGCTACGTAACTAAGCAGGAATTGCATCATCTTATTTAGTTCAATTAAGTACGTCAATATATACAATACAAAGTTTGGAGAATCAAATGTGCTTTCTGCTAGTTGATAATGATACATTCTGTAGAGACAGCCGTCAATGTAGATTTATAGTGTTTGATTCTATGAACTATTTTTTAGTTTAGCAACTTGAAATATTTATAGTTAGTTTAAAGTTATGAATTTTATGGTTTTAAATTATTCTTTTAGCGTAGAATTGATTGAAATAATTAAATTGGCGCTATAGAGATATAAAACGAAAATTCATAATGAAATGAACGTCTGTTAATATTTTCTATATGGACATTCTTCACTATACTATACCTTTCCTTTAATTGAATATGTACATTTAAGATTTTAGCCTGTTTTCTTATTAATCAACCATGACGGCCTAAAAAGTATTTTAAACAATTTCATGACTTTTTAACTACGCTGGTCTGTAAAATAAAATCATCATTCGGTGAAATTTCACTGATTATCGGACTGCATTGTATTTAGCTCATCAATGCTCATTGTATTTAGCATTGGAATAATAAATATTATTCAACGAACCGAGGACGGAATATGTCGAATTATTGTAATATTTCTAGTCTACTTAAGCTCGTTTGTAAAATTGAAGATAAAACAGGAAAATATGAAAACTTTTTCATACAATTTACTGTGAAAATATGAAAAATTTTTCATATAATTTACTGTGAAAATACGGAAACTTTTTCATATAATTTTCTGTGCTATTGGAATTGTTAATTAAGTAAGTTATTTGATTTTCAGACAGACGCGTTTGCATGTGTTAAGGTGATGTGTATTAACTTAATTAATTAAGTTTTACTTTGATGAGAGATCATCATAGATTTTATTTTTTGAGTAGAGTTTCCAGCAGCATATGATTTAATAGTAGAGGCTCTTACGGGCATTGTCTGCTCGATACGTTAGGGACCCCAGATACACCTTACTAGACGTATTTTTGACCGTAGAATCGATTGAAAGTGGTTTCAAGATGATTGGACTGATTGTTCTGAGGTAAAATCGCAAAAAACCGATTTTTGGGCCAAAAATAGGCCAAAAAACCATGTTTTTTGATATTTTGAGCAAGTTAATTTTGTTGGCATGTCGGCAAAACTTGCATAAAGATAGCTAAAAGACAGCCGCACAAGATTGTATAAAAATAAAACAAATCCCTCTATTTGTTCTGAGGTAAAAATCCAAAAAAGTGGTAAAAATTTTGACTTTTTTGCTTGAAGTTTGAATAATTTTTTGCAGTTGTATTAAATCAACCCAAAAATAGTCACATCGTGTTTGCCTAAATTTTTCCTTTCCGAGAAGTACCCACTTCATATACTTTATCGAAGTTTGAATATTTTCACTCCGCAAGCGTTTTTGCCAAATTTTCGACGCGCACTACGCGCAAAAGCATTTAGTTGTTATCAATTGGCACCCGCGCGTTCATCATAAATTTCAAACAGCTATAACTCAGCGAGATTATGTCCGTTCTAGCTCATATTTTTACACTAAATAGAAAATAATGTGATCTTATTGCTGACAAAATATGAATATAATTACTTTATTTGCCTTAGAGTAATAGACTGTCAAAGTTTAAAACGCGCATTGGTATAGCACGTGACTAATAAGGCCAAATTTATACTTCTTAACATATTATCGATCCTTAGACATCATACTATTGTGTCCAATTAGCGGTTAGGTCTCTAAACTCGTAGCAGAAAACACGTCTTTTTGCCCGTAAGAGCCTCTACTATAAAGCTTTGGTGGAATCAATTTCGAGGTTTTTAAGCATAAAGTTGTAAAAATAGAAGTTCATGATATAACATTTCTAAAATTATTTCCATTACAATCAAATCTTACGAAAAATGTAATCTGAATGAATGAAAATTTCAATTACGATAATTACGTAAATACTAAATATTACAATAATCTTTTAGAAATTTCTTTACCGCCCATCGTGCTATAAGTATAATATTTACAATTGTAATATTCAATAATTTACCATGACCTAATATAAATATTTTTATTTTTTTAAACAAATTAGTATTACTCGTCTATCTTTCTAACTAGTAACTTATATTAACGCATCCAGCTTAACCAACATGTTGCAGCTAGTTGCGTATCTCTAAACAGAGTTCAATAGTAAAGAAAGCTAAACGTGAGTCGGAACTAGGAACCAACTCACCACAACTTAGTCAATGCTAAGATCGGAATGTCACGACAATTAACCACCATCTTGTTGTAGTAGTTACGCTGTCATCAATTAACTCTCAACTTTTAAACGCGTGTACTACTCCGCATGACGTGACCATGGTGACCAGTGCGCGCATCGCGACTGGTCACGTGCCAGTGCGCGCGTCGCGACTGGATAAGAGTTGTAACTCAAACCAGTGTCAGTCTCCACGACTTTCAGCTACATGCTGCAATTAGAGGGTCTTAAATCATTTTACTTTGTACAGAAAGTCAGTATTATTTACGGGTACAAAGTGAGTATTGTGATGTGTTCACATGATTACCACCACTACATAGTGGCACACGTTATTGTCAACAGCTGGTCTTATTAAATTACACTATTTTATTGGATTACACTTAGGAATAAGGTCCCAACTAGAGTCTGTGCTTTCCGTATCAGCAAGACATTACACCATCTAGCATGGCTCCTAAGTTTCATTTTTTAAATAATCCTAAGCCTTTTTACAATGTTAAAGTCTAAATTTTCCAGACACTATAATCTGCAGCTGTCGCCTGGCCAGTGAGACCATCACATTAACCGAACCTATTCTCACATCACATCAGCAGTATTTATCAGGTAAGTAACAAGGTCTGAACCAGCCAGCTGTAAAAAGTGATCTGGTTGTCAACACGTGTCCACAGCGTGCGGAGTGAAACACGCTGTACTCATATCCAGTGTCAACTGTAAAGAGAGAGCGGCTTTCACGCCACACTTCACATTTGTACGGCAGCTCAGTCTTGTCTTGGCTAATGATATAAACCTTATAAAAGTGGTGTAAGTGGTGGGTGAATGAGCAAATCTTGCGGAGGAG